CCTTATGATTGGAGCATTTTAATATATATGGCCTATTGTTGTTCTTCAAAACAAAAATTTAACAATTTCCCTAAACATCATCTCCTGTGCTCCTGTGTGTATTAGTCAGCATTCTGTCGCTGTAACAAAACGCCTGAGGTAACTAACAGGAGGAAAAGTTTGCGTGGCTCACAGTTTGGAGGCTCAGGCCATGCCTGACTGCCACCCTTGACCCGTCCCAGTGGGGAGAGAGTGTGGTGGAGCATGGCTGCTTAGCTGGTGGTAGGGAAGGGAAGAAGAGACCAGGGTGCTATGGTCCCTGTGAGGGGCACACCCCAGTGACACAGGACCTTCCACTATGAACCACCATCTCCTCATGACGCTACCTAGTGACACAAGCCTTCAGCACACAGACTTTTGGGGGATACTTATCCAGCCATGGAGCTGCACATGATCAATTTCTGTTGCCACTGACACCCCTGTGACTATCTACCACATGATACACAGTCCTTTTGCCCTTTCTTAGGGAAGACCTAGAAAATAGGTGTTAAGTCTTCACTGACCCAGTAAAGACACTCCAGAAGATGGTTTTCAAAGCTGACCTTTAATACCAGCCTACTTCCTCCTCACCTGCCTGTGCCCTTGTGCTCTGCTCCTGGCTGCTCTTTCTCCTCTCCCCGCAGTGCCCTGGCCATGGTGTGGCCGGCCAGCCCTTCCTTTTCCAGGGGTCCTGCTATGCTTGTCTCCTGTGTAGTTGTCACCTGGGGAGCATGCTGGCACTTACGCTCCAGTAGGTGGGCTGCTCTCCTTGCCTTCTCACTCCGATGGGAAATGCTTCCCACTCACCAAGAATTTACTGATGAACAGATTACTGGCAAACAGTGTTTATGTCACGCTCAGAGTTAATTTGGAGGAATTTCTTTGAAATCAGTGGCCATAATAATGGTTGAAGGCATTTACAGATAAGGCACCACTGCAGTCAGAAACAGTGACTTTCATGCTGCATTCTTATGGAGAATTAATTACAGTGCTAACATGGTCTGAGATGCCTGACACAACAGTGGAAATGGAGGAGCAGTCAAGACTGAGGGAAGCCGGTTCCTCTAGGATTCAGCAGAGAATAGGAAAGCAAAAGAACTCAGACAAGCACAAGGCTCACAGGACAAGGGAGGAGCACAGGAGCTGGGGGTCAGGGCTGGTGACAAACTCATGCTGGCGTCCCAGGCCTGGCTTGGGGAGGTGCACAAGCTGGGTTGCACCTCTTCAGGGTCTGCCTGCCTTCTGTCTCGGAAGCTAACCCAGCTCGCTTACTTTTAATACATTTGATAAGGAATATAAAATTATTTATTGATCTGAAAATGCTTTAACTTATTTCTGCTAGTGATTTAGCAATAAATTTCTGACTACTGAAAGGTTAATTAGCTCGTTTAGCCCCACTAAGGCATCCAGCTATGGTCATATTAAATACTTACAAAATTAATCTTACAAACTGAATTTTTAACCAAAATATATTGTTCCTCATTCAACATAAAAACTAGTTTCAGAATTTACGTACCTGTAGTCCCAATCTGGGACTCAGAGTGAAGGATGTGTTGCTTAACTTTTCCTGAACTAAAAAACCTCAGCTTCTTTATCTAGGAAACAGTAAATATTTCATACAGTTGTTGTGGGAATGAAATGAAGTGAACTTTAGAAAATTGCATACACAGTGGCTGGCATGTAGTAAGTAGTAATTAAATGTTATTACTAAATTTTCCCAGCATAATAGTGGCCAGCCTCCTAAAAAAATCTCATTCCAAAAGCCTTAGTTTTTACCCCCAAATCTCATTACTGAATATAATATGTGGCTGTGTTCGTAAAGTTGACACAACTGGAGGGTAAGTATGAGCCTTTGAATTAATCGAAAAAGGAGTGATACATTCTAGTTCTCTTCTTCCCCCAAGCTACACGAACGCCTCCCACACTGATCTTGTCCTGATTTATTTCCTCCTAAAAAGATGAACTTCAGAAAAGAGTAGGTGTAAAGCCGCCTGTCACTCACCACTGGTGATGTGAACTCTACATGCTTCATGAGTCACTCCGTAGACTCCAGGAATAAGGACCAGGCTCTGTTTTGCTTTGTGTAGCTGTGTAATTTTGGACCATATCACTTCATCTCTTTAAATATCTTGTCTCCTTATCCATATAGTAGATGTAATAATGCCCTCTTCAAGGTTTCTGTGAGCATTATTGGAATAATTTGAATTTCTGGAGCATAGCAGATACTTATTAAATATCAACTTCCTTTCCTACCCTGGTCATTTTCTGAAAGAAATCCCACAGTTGGTATGTTGGTCTTGTCAAGCCTTTCCTTACGGTGGCTGTGGTTTTATGATGGGAGTGTAAATCAGAGAGAGAGACAGACAGACAGACAGACAGACAGACCAAGGCATTAACAGGGATGGTGAGGGTCCATTACTGGAAGGTGTCAGTGAATGAACCATGCAGATAAGAGGTGTCGTCTTTTTCCCTTCCCACTGCTTCTCAGAATGTTTTTCTCCTCCTTCTCCTTCACCCTAAAAGGATTCCCACTGCTACACCCACTTTTAACATCGGAAGCCAGCCAGCCCCTCTTCTGTAATTGACTCTAGCTTCTCCTTCTGCTCTTCTCAGTGCTAATGGTAACTCACGTTTGCTGAGCCATCCTGTAAGACACTGTTCTAGAATTTCATCTCCGCCCACTCATTTAACCTGAGCTACTGCAGTAAGAAATGCCATTTCTGATTTCTGCCACAACCTAACCAATGTGCAAACTAAGGCAGGAGAGAACTGACACTCCACAAGACTCCCAGCTGTGGCATCTGAGTTGGCAGTCTCTCAAATGCTAACTTCCTCTGTGTGTTGGGTTCAGGATGTTTACAATCAGCTAAGACATAATTCTTACCCTTAAAACGGAGACTGTCCAGTGGAAGGAGTCAGCGAGATTACTGTAACGCAAAGACTGTGAATTGTGTTGTAGGAGAGTGTGGTCCAGAGAAAGACCTTCGTTTGGGTGTTAGGTGAAGTCTGCAGAGGATGAATGATTTTAAATACAATTTTTACAGGTAAGGAGGGCTGGATAAGAAAGATATTCCAGTACAGAGAAGATAAAAGTTTCTGGGATGTGAGAGTGTAGGGCCCTTTGTGAGTCACAGGTCACTTTCTGGAGTTGGAATATGTGCAAATGTGCACACGTAGACACACTTCCCTGTGCTAGTGCTTGGAGTGGCAAGAATTCAGTGATGATTGAATTTTCCTGCTCAAAGATTCCCATTTTAAATTTTTTATAACAACCATTGCCTAGAACAATAGCTCTGGGAAGTCTAGACACAAAAACCCCAGAGCCACAGTCAGAGTTGCTACTTTCGTTTTACACAGAAAGCAGGTGTTTCTAGGTTTGCGAGATACAGGATTTGGGGCCGAGTGATTGGTAGAAATTTTATTCTAACAAAATCAGGTTTAAAATAATTTATTTACCCCACTGAGGCCTAAATTTCCAAGGTCTTCATAAGGAGAGGCCACAAAGAGGTAATAACATAAATACTTTTTGTCCAGGAGTCAATTTCTTGACACTTATTAGTACAAAATAGGTTTTGGTTTGTGACTGTGAACAAATATCTAATTGCTTCCGAGGAGAGGGATTCCATTCTGACAGCCTGGAACCCAGAGAGGCAGAGACTGGCTTCATCGGCCTCCTCCCTCCCTGTGGCTCCTGCTTCCAATCTCACCCTCACTCCTGTGTCCCAGAATCTTGGAGTGTGGCCAGGCACATGTGCCCCGAGTCCCTGCAGAGTCTGATTGGAGTGAAATTGGCAGATGACCAGGTAGAGGGACCAGACGGAGTCAGTAGACTCCTAAAATAATATGCAATTGATGATGTATTCCTTGGTGAACTGGGTAGATTATTTACTTACCCAAATACTTCAATACCAGCAAAGGCTTTTGGCTATTACTGTTATTCCGGAATACTTTTCAGTTATAAAATATTCAATCCAACTCAATTCCACAAAACCTTGAATACCTACGAGGTATAAGGCATTGTGATAGCAAACCAGTAAGACAAAATATAAACTCTTTTTTCATGTAATTCAAGAAAGTAGCCAGTCGATTACTGACTTACGTTTCACAGTGCTGACTCACAGAATGAACTCTGGTCAGTCAGTTCTTAATTAGCTGTATGCTTATTTTATCCATGGCACAATCTCTCTTTGTGGTTTCCTAAGCCAGCTCCACTCACGTTCCCAAACCTGGAGTAGATTTCTTCTGCTCTCTGTGAGGCTGCCCCAGCTCATGGGACAAGCTCTGCTACTTGTAGCACAGACTTTCCAAGTTTTCACGTATCATCTGCAGTGTCAAACATATTTTACTATTGTGATCTTATTACTCTGACAGTGCTTAGTTTGACATATCCTTGAATTTATTTTTCAACTTATGGTATTTTATTAACAAATATGATAGCTATCTAAGCTCTATTTTCTCTTCATAGTAATTTATTGTATGAAATCATTATTTGCTTGGATCACTTTCATCATGGCTTAAGAAATTCCTAATCACTGAAAACCTAGAAAAGTAGAGCTTACTTGAATAAAGAAAAGTCTTACATACGTGGATAGTATAAATTTGTTGACTTTCAAAAATCTGGGATAGGGAGAATATGCTTAAATTTAAATCTTTTTGTTTCTGTAAGTAACCACAATTTTAGGAAAGGAAATAGGGTGGAAAGAACATTATGATGTTAATATGACCTTTTAAATTATCGTTTTGTCAGTTTTTAACAGCAACGTTTATTACCTTTATTTCTACTTCAGTTGCATCGAGCCATAAGTAATTTAGAAAAAGACATCATAACTTATGATAAATAAATCTGTATTTAAATTTAGATATCTCTGAACATTATGCAACTTTTCACATATTACATATCATTAATACTTTTGCAAAATATTAGAAATAGGATAAATTGGGAATTGAATTTTGATGTATCATTCCGAATTTTTTCTTTTCAGACACGAATGAAGCTACATGGAAATGAGAGGAATCCGTGAAGCTCCTCCCTCAGGAGAATGTCTTTCATGACCAGAGTTCTGCATCTGGATTTCGGGGGACGCTGCCAGCGGCAGAGCCATGTCTGCTCTCCCTGTCCCCTTCAGTGACTCGGAGATCATCTGAACAGGATGCTGGCCTTCCACACACAGAGTTTCATCCTGATGCCCTGCTTACTTCTCTGGGGCAGAAAAGCTAATTGCTCTCCATGGTGGCTCATCTTTTCAAGAGCTTAATTTTACCTTACATACATAAGCTTTGCAAAGGAATGTTTACAAAGAAATTGGGAAATACAACCAAAAAAAAGGAGAATCGTCAGCAGAAAAAACAAGACCTTCCTACTGCTGGCCAGACCAAAACTCCCACTTTTTCTTATACTTTGAAAAGCACTGTAAAGAGGATTGCAAAGTGTTCTTCCGCTCGCAACTTACCTGCAGAAGAAGGCGAGGCAAACAAAGACTTTTCCCTCTCACCGACATTCAGTTACCGCGTGGCAATTGCCAACGGTCTGCGGAAGAACATTCCTGTGACTGGTAGTGACCATGACGATCCGCCTCCGGAGCTGTCCTCTGTTGAGAGTTCTTACTCCGAATCTTTAAATGAGCTGAGGAGCAGCGCGGAGGACCATTCCCGTCCCGTGTGCACCATGCCAGTGGGGCGCAGCAGGAAGAGCTCCAGCAGCCTAGCTCCCTCGGAGGGCAGCTCTGATGGGGAGCGGACGCTGCACAGCCTGAAGCTGGGGGCTCTAAAGAAGCTTCGGAAATGGAAAAAGAGCCAGGAGTGTGTCTCCTCAGACCCAGAGCTGAGCACTGTGAAGAGAACCTGGGGGATAAGGAGCAAGTCTTTGGACAGGACTGCTCGCCGCCCCAAGGCCCCAGCCCTCGAGCCAGGCTTCAGCTCCTCCGGGTGCCTCAGCCACACCCACGATGTCATGGAGATGATCTTCAAGGAGCTGCAAGGGATCAGCCAGATAGAGACAGAGCTGTCTGAGCTTCGGGGCCACGTGGATGCCCTGAGGCTCTCCATCGATGAGATCTCCAGCAGCGTGGAGGTGGTGCAGAGCGAAATCGAGCAGCTGCGGACAGGTTTCGTGCAGTCCCGGAGAGAGACCAGAGACATCCACGACTACATCCGATGCCTGGGCCACACGGGCAGCAAGGCAAGCCTGAGGTTCTTAAACGTGCCCGAGGAGAGATTTGAATACATCGATAATGTGGTGTACCAGATTCTAACAGACAAAATGGGCTTCTCAGATGCACCAAACGCTGCAAAAATCGAATTTGCTCAGAGAGTGGGACACCAAAGGGACTGTCCAAATGCTAAACCTCGACCCATACTTGTGTACTTTGAAACCCCTCAGCAGAGGGATTCTGTCTTAAAAAAATCATACAAACTCAAAGGAACGGGCATTGGAGTCTCAACAGATATTCTGACATATGATATAAAGGAGAGGAAAGAGAAAGGGATCCCATCCTCCCAGACCTATGAAAGCATGGACATGAAGCTGTCTATTCTGGAGCCCAAAGTGCGGAAGAACGGTTGGCGCTCACCTGGTGACAGTGATAGGGAGCTGGAATCTGACTTCAACAGGGAGAGTTATGCTGTGCTTTCCAAGCCAGAGCTTCCAACCAAGGGGAGCACTTCCAAGTCGAGCTCGAAATCACACAGCGCTAGATCTAAGAATAAAACTGTGAGTAGCAGCAGAATTTCAAACAAACCAGATCATGATAAAATGTCTTCACAATTGCCAGAATCAAATAACTTGGAACAGCAGACTGTAGCCCAATACGCAAGCACCACGCCCCTCTGGCATTCGCAGAGTGATTTTTTCACCACTAAACTCAGTCGCTCTGAATCAGATTTTTCCAAATTATGTCAGTCTTACTCTGAAGATTTCTCAGAAAATCAGCTTTTTGCCAGAACTAATGGGAGCTCCCTTCTGTCCTCCTCAGACAGGGAACTGTGGCAGAGGAAACAAGAGGGCACTCCTGCTTTGTACGACAGCCCTCGAGACCAGCACCTGGGCGGGAGTGCCCCAGGTGTCCAAGTGCACGGGGAGCTTCAGAACACAGACACTGCAGACAGCGGGATGAGTAACAGCATGGTATGCGCATCCGCAGACCGGAGTCACTACAGTGACTCGCAGCTCTCTTTGCACGAGGACCTCTCTCCGTGGAAGGAGTGGGATCAGGTAGAACAAGGAACTGATTTAGGCCAGGATTCATCCACTCAGGAAGCTTTTGACTATGACACAAACAGTCTGTCTGACCAACAGATGGACGTCTTTAGCAAAGACCTAGAAGACTTAGGAAAGTGCCACAGTGACCTCCAAGATGACTCTGAAAGCTATGATTTAACCCAAGATGACAACTCATCCCCATTCCCTGGATTAGATAATGAACCCCGAGGCCAGTGGGTTGGCCAGTATGATTCTTATCAAGAAGCTAATTCCAATGAACTGTACCAAAACCAAAGCCAGTTGTCCATGATGTACCGAAGTCACAGTGAATTGCAAAGTGATGATTCAGAGGATGCCCCACCCAAATCTTGGCATAGCCGATTAAGCATTGATCTTTCTGACAAGACTTTCAGCTTCCCAAAATTTGGATCTACACTGCAGAGGGCAAAATCGGCCTTGGAGGTCGTATGGAACAAAAGCACGCAGAGCCTCAGTGGGTGCGAGGACAGTGGCTCCTCCCTCGTGGGGAGATTTCGCACACTCTCTCAATCCACTGCAAATGAGTCAAGCACCACCCTTGACTCAGATGTGTACACAGAGCCCTATTATTATAAAGCGGAGGATGAGGAGGACTACAGCGAGCCTGCGGTGGACAACGAAACCGATTATGTTGAAGTGATGGAGCAAGTCCTCGCCAAGCTAGAAAACAGGACTAGTGTGACTGAGACAGATGAACCCATGCAGGAGTATGAGCCCCCCTTGTATGAGACACCGTATGAAACCCCACAAGATGAAGGCTATGAAGGGCAGGGAGAAGATGCAGCCAGTGACGGGGACCTGGAACCCGAAACTGAGCCAGCAGCTGCAATGCAAGTACAAGAAGATGAAAACCAGAACATCACCGAACAGCCAGTGGAAATCACAAAGCCAAAGAGAATCCGTCCCTCTTTCAAAGAAGCAGCGCTGAGGGCCTATAAGAAGCAAATGGCAGAACTGGAAGAGAAGATCCTGGCTGGAGGTACTCGTGTTTCCGTTATGAGCTCATGGTGTTTTAGCACGGAGTAGTGGTACTTTAGAACATGTCTTGTGTTTCCCTGGGAGAAAGAAATGACTTGCAATGAGTTTGCATGCTTGTTCTGAGAAGGATTTTACTTCATTTGGGTAGCTCTTTCAGCAAGTGGGGCTTGATGATGTAAAATAAAAATGTATTTTAAATAGGTCATATTGAAATGAGGCCAAATTTAATCCCAACTTAATCATTTAGCTATGGATCCTGATTCATCTTTAGGCACAAGCCCTATCTCATTAGCTTTAGGCACAAGCCCTATCTCATACAAACCAACTCTGTGGCATCAGTCATGGAGGGAAGGAGGAGTGAAATGGATGGACCTCACCTTCAGCCAGCAGCCTGTGGGCCATACCTTAGTCTTAGCAGGTTTGTACAGATGGGGCATCATTGATCTTAAAACATTTGAGAAGATGAACTCCCCAACTCCACCCCTCCTCCTGTCAAACCCACACTTAGTTGAAGAGTTGGGTCTGCCCAGCCAATCCTAGTGTGTCCCATGAGGACCACAAATGTCCTTACCACCTAATGATGCCACCAAAGAAAAATGAGACCACTAAGAGGGCAGGCCACACTTGGACGGGCACAGTTGTTCTCTGAGGGCGAGTTAGTCAGAGGCAAGATAGAGTCTTCTCTTCAGAAGAGTCTTATCTAACAAGTTTTAGTTTCCTGGGGGCGGGTAATTTTGGGCAATATACTCAGTAGCTGTGAATAAATATGAGTTTCTTGATTTTTTAACTTCTCAGCCAAACTTCATCTGCACTCACCCTAATTCCTACCACTCAGCTTACTTGAATGCTGCTCATTTTATATTTGGGGGCTAGTTTATTATAATCTCATTTTAATGAATTAAATATTGTTATTATTTTCCTCAATGATGGCATTACGCTGTTTAAAATATTTAGTGTATGTTACATTTCATAGAGGCATATATTTATGTGATAAAATGTTATTTACTGTTAAGAAATAATGTCACATAATAATTTATGAAGTCAGGAGTTGATTGTGGCTTCCCTGTGTTGAAAAAATTATGATCAGATGCTCCTCCAAACTATTATCTGGTAGATATGGGCAGGTTATTCAATAATTGAACACCTGTTTGTAAAACCATTTCAAGCCCTAAAACAATCAAAACTACTAGATTTCTTTACTATAAAAATCCATCCTTATAATGCAACACAGACTGTGTAATTTACCTATAGAGCAACATAAGTCAAGGGGATATTGGGTACATTTGCTTTGATTTTATTATTGTTTTGTTCAGAGAGGGAATAGTTCTCAACTATATTTAAAACTGATTTGAAAATGCAAATAGTCAAGTGTTAAATGAATATAGTTTATGTTAGAATAATATCTATCTCATATCAGAGTGACTTTTGATAGTTAGATATCCTTATTTCTGAAACTCAGTTTATAATATCTAGGGATAGAAGCCAGGAGTTTCTTTCTGTAGTGCTGATTCAGAGACATCTACTCTAGTATAAATTGAGACTCAACTGTGTGTGTGTCTGTGGGTATGTGTGTTGTGATGTACTAGATGTGTTTTAATGTCATCTGGCTAACATGTATGTTTGCAACATGAGGAATATCATAAATAGAAACAGACCACAAATTTCAGAAGAAAGTTGGAGAATATATATATTCAACTTTAAAAAGTCTGGAGATCCTGCCATTTGCCACAACATGGGTGGAACTAGAAAGCATTCTGGTAAATGAAATAAGTCAGACATGTGATCTTCCTTATATGCAGAATCTAAGAAAAAAGAAGGAAAAAATGTACAGATAGGAAATAAAGCAGTGGCCACGGGGCATGGTGTGGAGGGAGGAAGGGGGAGGTGTAGATGAGAGGATGCCACGTAGCAGGGACATGGGGAGGCCAGCCTGGCCTCCATGCACAGCATGATACCGAAGGTCACCATTGTTACTGTACTCTGATGCTGTACACGCAGATTGTCGCCTCTCCTCACACGCACAACACGCACACACAGTAACTGTCAGATATGTTCATTTTCTTTACTTCTAGAGCTAGTAACCATTTTACCTAATATATGCACCTCAATGTATTATAAACTTCAACTATATGCAACAAAATGAATTAAAAATTAAAGCTGCACATGCTGGTGCACACCTGTAGTCCCAGTTACTTGGGAAGCTGAGGTAGCAGGATCACAAGTTTGAGACCAACCTGGGCAACTTAGTGAGATCCTGTCTCAAAATAAATTAGAAAGGGCTAAGGATATATCTTGGTGGTAGAACAGTTGATTAACATGTGCCAAGTCCTGAGTTCAATCTGTAGTGCTAAAAAAACATAATTAAATTTTTAAAAATTTAAAATACCAATCCTCTACAAAGTAGATTGTTATGGTAACAATTCTTTAGCCAACTAACAAACCTAGTCATCCGGTGACACTTCTGGGAAAGCATGAATGTACTTGGGCAACCATATGTTACCAAAGTGAGAATTCTAAAACAGGAAACAAGCTTGTGCTACACCCTGGATATAAGAGTAGGCCTGGCTATGGAGGACTCAGACCCTGCTGCCAGCGTGGAGCTCGGTTGTTGCCATCCTCTGAGCGTCTCTGAGTGGAATGTGTTGCGCGTTCTCTGTCCTGAGGAAATCGGCGTGCGTGACTTTAAGATGCTCTCTGGTGGCTGAGAGGCACCAGATTGACTGCCCGGGAAGCTGCAGTAGCCTAGATTGTAAAGGCCATCTCGGTTCCCCTTGGCAGCAATCAGGCAGTTTCCCCTCCTGTGCTAGCAATATGCTTCCAAAGGAAGGGCAGCCAGAGGAGGGCACCTTCCAGCCCTTTCCCTGTGCCGAGCCCCCAGTGAGGTGCGAATGGGCGTCATGGCTTTGGTGCCCATGGCCATCTGCTCGCTGGGTATTGGGCAGGTGCCAGCGGAGTTTTCTCTCCATGGCTACCCAGCCATCACTCAGTGGCGGTGCTGTCTTTCCCCCATTACTCACCTGCCTGATTGGAGCATAGAGATCTTGCCGTACCTTCTTCTGTGGGAGGCCGCCTTCCTGACACAGCTTTATGAAGTTAGCGAGCTCAGACCTCAGATTCTTTATATCTACTATTGTCTTCAGGATCTGGAGGACAAGAAAAGCCAGACGTTGATGAATGTGGCTACCTGGTGGTAGAACCTTCACTCTGAATGCATTCCAGTAGAGTAAGAAATCCTGGGGGTGCACTGCTGGTGGTGTCCCCATGAGCTCAGGGTCCTCCCTCAGTGGCATGTTGAGTGGCACCATTTGTGCTGTGGTTCAAGCTCAGTGCCACAGTGGAGACCTGCTGAGCGCTGCCCCCGCCCTTCGTCACTCACACTCGGAAATGACTGAGTCTTCCAGCTCTGCTCTTCTGCCTCTGGGCCCTGGCTTCGCCCTGTGTTAACACACATGTCTCACTTCTCTTCTAAAGTACGAGCAAGGGCAGGGCCTTGTCCTTTTCACCACTTCCTCTGTGCTATTTCTGACCAGTGCTTTGTGCAGAGAGGGGGATGAGTGGACAGGTGCTGGCTGATGTCTCCATGAAGGGCTGAAGTGTACTAAATGAGAAGCACAAGGGGCAGCTGTGGCACTTAGCCGTGAGGCTATGACTTTATACTTGGGGAGCTCAGAAGCAGGACTCTGTGGTGGGCACTTGTCACACAGTTCGTCCATTTCCACTCTTTTACCTCTGACAGCACCCGTGAATGTGGCTCCAGATGTGCCCAGCTTGAGGTGAGAGCAGCCACGCCCCACCCCAGTTCCAAGTTTGCTCATTATTCATGGTTTATGTTTGAAAAATGTAATTGAAGATGTAGAAAAAAGTCAGCCACTAAATTTATCTAAACTCAAGGATTTTCAGTGAAGCCTGAAGTCAGCCTGAAGTAATGTTCCTAGCCAACAACACAAAAACCTTGTTCTGTAAGAGACTTTGACATTGGTAATTAGCATGATTGCTGATTTCTTTTAATCATGGTTTGTACTCTGTTTTCTAAGTGGCTGCAGGACTTTGTTAGAACATCTTGGTTCTCAAATAAGAGTATAGAATTGAATTTCTACAGATTTCCTGAACCGAGGCTTTGCTGTGTGGGGCCTGGTGTTTCCAAGCCTGGTCGGTTTTTAGAATCATGTAAGCAGCTTCTGAGGTCTTGTCCCTGGGGTGATGTTTTCAAATTACCAAATCACTGAGCATTGTGACTTGGTGGTCCTGCAGGGAGGCCAGAAATATGTACTGAAATTTGTATGAGTTGCTGGTGTAATAATATAAACCCTTATAATAAAACAACAAGCACACGCATGCACAACTAAAACCACACTGAAATGAAATCTAAGGTGAAAGTAAAGTAGTTTGTCAAAGAATCTGTGGTGCCCCTGTGTTCACTGATGCGCTATGCACAGTGGCCAAGAGGTGGGAAGAACCTACAAGTCGATGGACTGATGCCTGAGTAGATGGAACGTGCAGTACTGCACACCGTGGAATACTATTCAGCCATGAGCACAGAATGAAATCCTGTCATTTCTCAAAACATCAGTAGAACAGAGGTCATTTTACTGAATGAAGCCATGAAGTCAGAGCCAAGAACAACAGCTTTTGTATGGGTCTCATAGGACAGTAGTGGTTACGGGAGACAGAGGTGAGGATGCGGCAAAGGCGACCCATGGGTGCTAAGCTCATTACAGAAGGAGTAAGGCACTCTGGCCTGCTCCGATGCAGTAGGGAGACTCGAGATAACAGTTAGGTACCATGTGTCTGTCTCCAAGAACTGGCAGGAAGATTTCTGAAGTTTTCTTCATAGAGAAATGGTGAGTGTTTGGAGGAGGAGGCATGTTGAACCTGCCTCAAACTATGCAATGTGCACATGTGCTGAAACTGCTCATGGCGCTCCATCTATATATAATGTTATGTTCCTGCAAATCTGTTAAAATATAATTTAAATTTTATAAAGTAGAATAGACAGCTTCT